GCCAACACCTGAGCATTCACTTTTCTTACAACCCCATCTATAAATATATTGAACAACCATGGTGACATCACACATCCTTGTCTAAGGCCTACTTTTACTAGGAAATAATCTCCCTCTCTCCTACATACTCTAATCTGAGCTTCACTATCCTCATGAAAACTCTTCACTGCTTTCAGTAACCTACCTTCTATTCCATACATTTGCAACATCTGCCACATTGCTCCCCTATCCACCCTCACCCCCCTACCTTTCCTAAAGTCTCCTTGTTCATCTGCTATCCTACTCTCCATCATACTCTTAATTTTTTCAATAATAACTCTACCATACACTTTATCAGGTAGTGTACTCAACAGACTTATTCCCCTCTAATTTTTTCACTCTCTTGTCCCCATTTGCCTTTATACAATGGAACTATGCATGCTCTCTGCCAGTACCTATGTACCTTACCCTCTTCCATATGTTTATTAAATAAAAGCGCCAATCACTCCAAAACTATATCCCCACCTTCTTTTAACATTTCTATCTTTATCTCATCAATCCCAACTGCCTTACCCTCTTTCATTCTACCCACTGCCTCATGAACTTTCCCCACACTCAGAACTGGCTCTTCCTCGCTCCTACAAGATGTTATTCCTCCTTGCCCTATACACAAAATCACAGCTTCCCTATCTTCATCAATATTTAATAATTCCTCAAAATATTTCCTCCATCTTCCTGATACCTCTAACTCTCCATCTTACTACATGAAGTGTATAAAGATGGGTTTGTGCAGCCCATGCTCTTAACCAGACATCATGTCACTTATAATAATAATATCTTTATTTCTACTAGTACATGTACAAAGTATACAGACCTAGCTGACATCATTACATACTACCACATGGAAAGCCTCTTCCTTGACATGCAGAGCATTTCAGACAAATTAGGTCAGTTTTGTCCCAAGATGCAACCCACACCAATCAATTAACAGAGGTACCCATTATTATTGATAGGTGACAACCTAACCTAATCTAACTTATGAATGTGCAGACTTTTTTTGGGGGTTATCCTGGGTAATTTACACTATATGATAGTTGTGCTTGTGTACCTGTACCTAAATAACTTTACAATGGAATGAACTAAAAGACATGCATGAGGTAAACAACGATAACACTAAAAGCCTGATGTAGTTATTTAAGATAACGTGTCCTTGATGTTTGGGTCGACACTGGCAACCAACATGCCTTCAAGGAGGAAGCTTTTATTTTGATCAGGTTTTTAAATGTAATTGATCTCATGTTCATTTGTGCCAAATATTAATTGTTAGTGTTGTATTTTTTTCTTTCATTAATAAATTAAGTCTTGTATGTATAGATTTTCCTTTATCCTCAAGTCAGGTGTATGGAGTCCACGGAAGTTTATCTCGATGCTCTTAACCCTTTGAGGGTCGAGAGGCCCTCTCCCAAACTCGTTCTCAGGGTCGAAAAATTTTCAAAAAAAAAAAAAAAAAAAAAAAAAAGTTCTTATGAAATGATAGAGAATCTTTTTCCAATCATAATGACACCAAAAGTATGAAACTTGATGGAAAACTTACGGAATTATGCTCTTGCGAAGTTAGCGGTCTCAAAGTGGGTAATTTTGCCCACTTTAAGCCCTATTTTTTGGCCAATTCCAATGTTGCAGTTGACTAAAATCATAGCTATTTCCCTAGAACTCCATTTGTTCTATCCACCGAGTACAAAATCGCCCATTTACCGAAATTTCAACTACTCAATAATGCAGTCAGAAATTGGCAATTTCACAAATTTCAAAAGATGCCAATTTCGAAATAGGGTCCAGAATAAACAAGACACATTTTATCTGTTCATTAGCCACGTCTCTAGGCCCCTTTTACATTACTTTTGCTTTCCATTTTAAATTTTTATTCTCACGGAAAATAGAAGGTTTTCTGTTATGTATACTGTACTACTACATCACTGTAAAAATGGTATTAATTATATCAACGCACTTGTAAAAGAATATTAGACTCGCCAATTGACGTGTATTGGACGTGTGGCTTGATTTGTTTACTCTTGAACATTGACAAAAATTTATCATTTCTGCTTCTTTGAGCTCAATTTCAAGGTACAGTACTTGTAATAGTTAAACCAATCAAAATCATCTCTATTTCTGTAATATATCTTCCATTCTATCAAATGAGACAAGGAAACTAGAATACTACCATAAATACCATACAAAAATACACTAGAAAGTCGCTGTTTTAAACCAAAAACACTGTCAAAGTTTTCTTTTTTCTCGTTATACACAGCATGCTTCAGGATTTTTTTATACTGTGCACACTGACCACACAGACCCATTCTTTCATATGTAGGCCTGCCAGCTTTCTTCCACCAGATTTGAAGGCGCTAGAATTGAGGTGTACAAGTACGTGACCGACCCTGGCTGCAATGATGTACTTGAACATGACCGACCCTCAAAGGGTTAATAATCCTTTTGAGAGTTGGAAATCTGCTTGCTTCTCTTCCCAAGGCCTGTGCTACAGAGGGCTAGTATCTATCAGTTCCTTTATTATACCATTATACCCTCTGATTTATTTTTTTTTACAGGCTAAGAGCTGTTATTCTCCTTCAGTTCATTTCAGATTTATGACTCTTATTGGTCTTTCCTGCTCTAGCCCAAATTTTTCTTCTTCCTTCTGCTGGAACTTTATTTCCTTTTGTGTTCTCAAAGCAAGTGGTGGCAGTTTTTATTAATTGGAGCAGTAACTCCTTTTTCTAGTTTTCCCTTTTCTTTAGCCTTCACCCAGGCTGGAATTAGGGTGTCCACTTAATTTCACAACTGCTTCAGAGCTACCAGTGAAAAGCACTTTACCTTAATGTGATTCATGGCTGCCATATACTGTGTCAAACAAATCTTGAAACCTGTTTTTCATCCATTTCCATCTCTCTTGTACAGTGGACCCCCGCATAACGATGGCATCACATAACGATTATTTCGCATACCGCTTACTTTAATCGCAAAAATTTTGCCTCACATACCGCTTAAAAACCCGCTTACCGATTTTCGTCCGAGACGCGGCCTGAGCCACGCTCACATGTTCCGCCGGTGGCATTGTTTACCAGCCAGCCTCCGCGGTAACATCCAAGCATACAATCGGAATATTTCGTATTATTACAGTGTTTTCGGTGCTTTTTCTGGAAAATAAGTGACCATGGGCCCCAAGAAAGCTTCTAGTGCCAACCCTACAGCAATAAGGGTGAGAATTACAATAGAGATGAAGAAAAAGATCATTGATAAGTATGAAAGTGGAGTGCATGTCTCCGAGCTGGCCAGGTTGTATAATAAACCCCAATCAACCATCGCTACTATTGGTGGTACAGCTGCTGCTGCTGCTGCACTGTCAGCTGCTGCTGCTGCTGTAGCACCGTTGTTGGTGTGGCTTATTGAGAATACCAAGAAACAATTAACCCCAGAGGATTTGCCACCCAGGATAACCCAAAAAAGTCAGTGTCATCGAAGACTGTCTAACTTATTTCCATTGGGGTCCTTAATCTTGTCTCCCAGGATGCAACCCACACAAGTCGACTAACACCCAGGTGAACAGGGAAAAATGCCTGGAACTAGTGCTCATATTGGTGAATTTAAAGCCAGCAAAGGTTGGTTTGAGAGATTTAAGAATCGTAGTGGCATACACAGTGTGATTAAGGCCTGTTCTGGAAGAAAATGCCAAACAGGACGTACAGTACTCAGGAGGAAAAGGCACTCCCAGGACACAGTGTCTCATCAGTCATTGCTGCATCTTCAATAAAGGTAAGTGTCATTTATTCTTCATTTAGTAGACTAGTACATGCACAATATATACTGTGCATGTACTACTCTACTATTGTGCATGTATCCTTCTCTTTGTGTGTGGGAAAATGTATATTTCATGTGGTAAAATTTTTTTTTTCATACTTTTGGGTGTCTTGCACGGATTAATTTGATTTCCATTATTTCTTATGGGGAAAATTCATTCACATAGCGATTATTTCGCATAACAATTACCCCTCTTGCACGGATTAAAATCGTTAACCGGGGATCCACTGTACTTTGTAGGAAAGGTTTCTAATACATAGAATAAGCCGCCTTCTCTGTATTTTCCAGTGCATTTATGGCCATTCTCTAATGTGGAGACCACAACTAAGCACCCTAATCCAAATGAGGTCTAACCAAATATATAAAGTTGAAGTATAACCTTAGGACTTCTGTTTATACTTCTTGCTATAAAGCAAAGAATTCTATTAGCTTTATTGTGTACACTTATGCAATGTTGTTCTGACTTCAAATTTCTGCTAAATCTTTTTTGCATTGACTCTAAAGATGTTCATTGTTTAGCTTATAAGTGCTGTAGTGTTTTCTTTAGGATAGGAAACTTACAAACGTTCACATCGAACTACACCTGCCACATCTCTGACCACAACAGCAACCTATCTAGATCATTCTGTAATTTTGCTTCATAAGAAATGATTTGATAGTTTATTTTAGTGTTATCGGCAAACTTATATCGTTGTTTAGTCCCTCAGCTGTGTCGTTGATGTAGATTTTGATCAACAAGGGCCCCAGTACTGACCCCTGTGAAGCACCACCTGTATGACCCTTACAAGTTTGTCTGTGTAATAGAGCTGAACTCGTTCCCTCAAGGTAGATGTGTTGATGCTGGTGAGGGGGCCATTGATCAAAGAAAATGAAACAAACCCAAATGCCTCCCATACCCAAGGCACTATGTGATCCCTATGGGCTAAGAACATTTACTTTAAACTTACAGGAAGGATGCAAGTAAACTAGTGTCTTGCATTAACACTGGGTGTTACATAATGTATTGCTTTTCAGAAATCTTGGCAAGAGTGTATATTTAATAAAAAAAAAATTATCTTAATTGAATTGGGTTTCAGGGATCATCTTTCCGCTGCAGTAAGTATCTTAATTTATAACATGGTATTCTTAAAATACGTAATAACTACTAGTGTTGATGTTTATTGCAGATGGTCAGTGACTGGTTGGTGCTCAAAATGTCTCCAAAAAGAAGATTTAGCCGATTTATGAAGTTATTTGGCCATGGTAATTTCTGGTGCATGGCCTATCTTAATGAACTGCATGACATCAAAACAGAAGGTACAATTGTCAAGGTAAATAATAATTTGTATTGACTTGTAGAAAACCATGTACTTGGATATGTTAGATATACCATATTTTCTGGCATATAAAATGTGCCTTTTTTTTTTCCCACAAAAAAAATCTTGCAGAATCACCCTATGCCTTATACTCAAGGTCAGGGTCAAGGGTAGGCTTTGGGTTATGCTTTAACATAAAGCAAGAGGGTAATGAACCCTTGTATATGATTACTGACTAACCATTACAATACTTCTGTTGTGGGCCTTTCGTGCAGTACTAGTACTGTTCTTACAGTACTGTGCAGTACTAGTACTGTTCTTACAGTATTATGCAGTACTAGTACTGTTCTTACAGTATTATGCAGTACTAGTACTGTTTTACAGTATGTGCAGTACTAGTACTGTTCTTACAGTATTATGCAGTACTAGTACTGTTCTTACAGTACTATGCAGTACTAGTACTGTTCTTACAGTACTATGCAGTACTAGTACTGTTCTTACAGTACTATGCAGTACTAGTACTGTTCTTACAGTATTATGCAGTACTAGTACTGTTCTTACAGTATTATGCAGTACTAGTACTGTTCTTACAGTACTGTGCAGTACTAGTACTGTTCTTACAGTATTATGCAGTACTAGTACTGTTCTTACAGTACTTGCAGTACTAGTACTGTTCTTACAGTACTATGCAGTACTAGTACTGTTCTTACAGTATTATGCAGTTGACTTAAGTACTGTTCTACAGTAGCTTAAATGCAGTACTAGTACTGTTCTTACAGTATATGCAGTACTAGTACTGTTCTTACAGTACTGTGCAGTACTAGTCCTGTTCTTACAGTACTGTGCAGTACTAGTCCTGTTCTTACAGTACTGTGCAGTACTAGTCCTGTTCTTACAGTACTGTGCAGTACTAGTCTGTTTCTACAGTACTGTGCAGTACTAGTACCTGTTCTTACAGTACTGATGCAGTACTAGTACTTTCTTACAGTACTTGCAGTACAGTACTAGTCCTCTTACAGTACTGTGCAGTACTAGTCCTCTTCTTACAGTACTTGCAGTACTAGTCGTTCTTACAGTACTGTGCAGTACTAGTCACTTCTTCACAGTACTGTGCAGTACTAGTACTCTTCTCACAGTACTGTGCAGTACTAGTACTTCTCTCACAGTATGTAGCAGTACTAGTACTGTTCTACAGTACTGTGCAGTAGCTAGTACTGTCTTACAGTACTGTGCAGTGCTAGTACTCTTACAGTACTGTGCAGTACTAGTACTCTTTCTCACAGTACTGTGCAGTACTGTATCTTTCACAGTACTGTGCAGTGCTAGTACTCTTACAGTACTGTGCATACAGTACTGTACAGTACTTCTACGTCACAGTACTGTGCAGTACTAGTACTTTCTTACAGTACTATACAGTACCAGTACTGTTACAGTACCAGTATATACGTTCTTACAGTACTGTGGTACTATTTCTGTTCTTACAGTACTGTGCAAACTATTACTGTTCTTACAGTACTGTGCAGTACTAGTACTGTTCTTACAGTACTGTGCAGTACTAGTACTGTTCTTACAGTACTGTGCAGTACTAGTACTGTTCTTACAGTACTGTGCAGTACTAGTACTGTTCTTACAGTAACTGTGCAGTACTAGTACTGTTTCTTACAGTACTGTGCAGTACTGTTTCTGTTCTTACAGTACTGTGCAGTACTAGTCCTCTTACAGTACTGTGCAGTACTAGTCCTCTTCTCACAGTACTGTGCAGTACTAGTCCTCTTCTCACAGTACTGTGCAGTACTTGTACTGTTCTCACAGTACTGTGCAGTACTAGTACTCTTCTCACAGTACTGTGCAGTACTAGTACTCTTCTCACAGTACTGTGCAGCACTAGTACTCTTCTCACAGTACTGTGCAGCACTAGTACTCTTCTCACAGTACTGTGCAGTGCTAGTACTCTTCTCACAGTACTGTGCAGTGCTAGTACTCTTACAGTACTGTGCAGTGCTAGTACTCTTACAGTACTGTGCAGTGCTAGTACTCTCTACAGTACTGTGCATGCTAGTATTTCTACAGTACTGTGCAGTGCTAGTACTCTTACAGTACTGTGCAGTGCTAGTACTCTTCTCACAGTACTGTGCAGTGCTAGTACTCTTACAGTACTGTGCAGTGCTAGTACTCTTCTTACAGTACCAGTATTATTCTTACAATACTGTATGGTACTATTCTTACAATACTAGTATTCTGTTCCAAAGAACAGTATAGTTCATTGGGAATATTTGGAACGTTTCACTGGTGTATGGTACTTGTTTTGAGCTATTTTTTTTTTTTACTGGCAAACATTACACAGCTTTTGATAACTTTTTTCATTTGGCTTTAATTTTTGTATTAAAAAATTAATATAATTTAACCTTGAATACCAGAGTATTTTGAATTTAGGATTGGTGGTATTCTTGAAAAAAAATTGTAAAGACATTTTTCATAAAGAAGCTTAAATGTACTAGTTTATTAAGAATGTTCACTGTGCTTTATAAACATTTCATCTTTTTTATTTTTTCAAGCATTGCTCTTCATAATTTTGCATGTTTTTAACATATCTTTCACATCTTCCTTTGAAAAAAAAAAGAAATCATAAAATTGATTTACCTAACACAAGTCTTAATAAACACCTTTGTCTGTTTAAAGGAATTTGAAGATGCTGGTGCTATAGTTCAAGTAACTCTGCGGGTGGTGTCAAGTACAATTAATGCTTTTGTGCCGTTAGGGGTCCTCACTGGTCCCTTTATGCCCACACTGCTGGATCCTGCAGCCTTAACACACATGCAAGGCATTGTCACCAATAACCACGACTCATCTAACGATATCTTTCTGGCTGAGATGGCAACTCATCGGTAAGAGCAAAAATTAACACTCACTAGTGTTTCCGTTAATTGATTCATAACATTTTATGGGAGATAGTGTAGTGTACTAAGAATGTTAGACATCTTTAATAACTGTCTCTTCAAGGAGGTGGGAGTGCCTTTATGCCAGTCAAGGGCTTTTGCTCCAATGAATTGGAATAATCTTCTCTTCCTTGCATGCTGTATGACCCTTGTGGGTTAATGCTTTCCTCTTCATAATGTTGTATTTTTTTCGTACCACGCTGGCTGTCTCCCACCAAGACAGGGTGATCTGAAAAAGAAATACTTTCACCATCATTCAGAATATCACTGTCTTGCCAGAGGCACACAGATACTACAATTTAGATGTCACTGTAAAGGGCAAATACCCCAAACCCCTCCTTTAGAGTGATGTACTTTCCACCTTGAGGATTCAAGTCCAGCTAACCAGTTTCCCTGAACCCTTCACAAAATATTACCCTACCCCCACTCCAACAGCTCGTCAAATCCCAAAAACCATTCATCTCCACTGACTCCTATCTATCACACTCGCACGTGCCTGCTGTATGTCTAAGCCCTTTGCACACAAAACTTCCTTTACCCCCTCCATCCATTCACAGGGTGACTCCCTACCCCTCCCTTAACCTCCACTACAGATTTATACACCCTCCAAATCATCCTATTTTGCTCCATCCTCTAAATGACCAAACCACCTCAACCTTCCCCCCATCCTCAGCCCTCTGAATAATACTTTTTCTCCATGCCTCCTAATTTCCACACTACTAATTCTCTGCATAATATTTCTACTACACATTGCCCTCAGACACATCATCTTCACTGCCTCCAGCCTCCTCCTTGCTGCAACATTCACACCCATGTAAGATGTTGGTACCACTATACTCTCGTACATCCCTTCTTTGCCTCCATTGATAACGTTGTGTCTCCATAGATACCTCAGTGCACCACTTATCTTTTTCCCCTTTGTTAACCCCTTGACTGTCGCAACCCCCAATCCTGAAGTGTCTCCTGGTGTCGCAAAATTTCAAAAAAAAAAAAAATTATTTTTTCTTGTGAAATGATAGAGAATCTTTTCCCGATTGTAATGACGCCAAAAGAAACGAAATTTGATGGATAACTGACGGAATTACGCTCTCGCAAAGCTAGCGACCTTGGTGATATTTACAAATCGGCGATTTCGCCCACTTTGAGCCCTATTTTCGGCTAATTCCATTGTTCCAGTCGACCAAACTCATAGCTATTTCTTTAGAACTCCATTTTTTCTATCGATTGAGTACAAGAAACTGCCCATTTACCAATTTTAACTACCCAATAACGTGGTCAGTAATTTGCAATTTAGCCAATTTCACGAAAATTAAAAAATGACAATTTCAAAATAATCTCCAGAATGAACAATGCAGACATTCCTGGCTCTAAAATAACATTTTCGTTGTTCATCAGTCATGTCTCCAGGCCCCTCTGATATTACTCTTGCTTTCTATTTTGAATTTTTATTCAAACAAAAAATAAAGATTTACTATTATGCAGACTACTCTAATACTGTAATAATTGTTTAAATAACATCAACCCATTCATGACTGCATATTAGAATGGCTAGTTGGACATATATTGGACAATGATGTCATTTGTTTATTTTTGAACATCGGCAAAAATCAAACATTTCCCCCACTTTGAGCTCCATTTCCAGGTTCTTTTTATAGTAAAATCAATCGAAATCATCTCTTTTTTCTATCATATGCTTTCCATTCTATCAAATGAGACCAAGAAAATGAGAATACAATCATAAATACTACACGAAAATAGACCACAAAGTCAGCATTTTAATTAAAAAAAACGGTCTAAGTTTTTTTTTTCTCATTATGCACTGCGTGCTCCAGGATTTTTTTTTATGTGGTGCACACAGACCCATTCTCTCACATGTGGGCCTACCAGCTTTCTCCTGCTTGATTTGAAGCCACTAGAATTTGAGTATATATACGTCAAACACGGTACCTCGTAAGACGTATATATATGGCCGCGACAGTCAAAGGGTTAATTCCGTCGTTTACCTTGTCCTTTATATACCCATCCACCGACACTTCCACTCCCAAATGCCATAGACTGTCAATTAACAAGGTAATTACATTCCTAAAAACTTGGTGCAAGATGCTAAAAAAAACTTGTGGGAAAAATTGAGTTGTTGCTTTAACCCCCCAAAAATGGCAAACTTCATTTCTTTCTCTTTTTATTTTTTTCCTTCTTTTTTTTCCCCTTTTTCTTTTTCTTTTTTTTCTTACTTTTTTTTTCCTTTTTCTTTTTTTCTCTTTTTTCTTTTTTTTCTTTTTTCTTTTTTTCTTTCATTCTTTCATTCTCTTTCTCTCCTCCCCCCCTCCAAGTTGTAAAAACAAAAAAAATGTTAATGTAATTGTAGTTCACTGTGATGTACAGTGGAACCTCGGCTTACGAACGCCCCACCATGCGAATTTTTCAGGATACGAACCGTCGTTCAGTCGATTTTTTTGCTTCTGGATACAAAAGAAATTTCAGGATGCGAACTTCTCCCTCAGGGAAGGTTCCTTAAATAAATAAATAAATAAATAAATAAATAAAATATTTATTTCTTTGCAAAAGTTACAATGTGTGTTTACATATCATAATATGATTGGAGCAAAGTAAGCCTCTATCATGCTGAGGCATTTCGGGCAGACTTAACTTAATACTAATAGACTAAAGTCTAGACAGGTAAAAAGTGTACTAGTAGTTGTTACCAATGTTTTGCTGATGGTGGTGCCATCTACTGGCAGCCTTTTGAAGTTTCTCCTTACTGTTATTATTATTACTATTTTTTTTCTCAACAAGTCGGCCGTCTTCCACCGAGGCAGGGTGACCCAAAAAAAGAAAAAATCCCCACAAAGAAAATACTTTCATCATTCAACACTTTCACCTCACTCACACATTATCACTGTTTTTGCAGAAGTGCTCAGAATACGACAGTTTAGAAGTAGTATATACATATAAAGATACACAACATATCCCTCCAAACTGCCAAGATCCCAAACCCCTCCTTTAAAGTGCAGGCATTGTACTTCCCAGTTCCAGGACTCAAGTCCGGCTATATAAAAAAACTGGTTTCCCTGAATCCCTTCACTAAATATTACCCTGCTTACACTCCAACAGCTCGTCAGGTCCCAAATACCATTAGTCTCCATTCACTCGTATCTAACACGCTCACGCATGCTTGCTGGAAGTCCAAGCCCCTCGCCCACAAAACCTCCTCTATCCCCTCCCTCCAACCTTTTCGACGACGACCCCTACCCTGCCTTCCTTCCCCTACAGATTTATACGCTCTCCATGTCATTCTACTTTGATCCATTCTCTAAATGACCAAACAACCTCAACAACCCCTCTTCAGCCTTCTGACTAATACTTTTATTAACTCCACACCTAATTTCCACACTCCGAATTTTCTGCATAATATTCACACCACACATTGCCCTTAGACAGGACATCTCCACTGCCTCCAACCGCCTCCTCGCTGCAGCATTTACAACCCAAGCTTCACACCCATATAAGAGTGTTGGTACTACTATACTTTCATACATTCCCTTCTTTGCCTCCATAGATAACGTTTTTTTGTCTCCACATATACCTCAACGCACCACTCGCCTTTTTTCCTTCATCAATTCTATGGGTAACCTCATCCTTCATAAATCCATCCGTTGACACGTCAACTCCCAAATATCTGAAAACATTCACTTCTTCCATACTCCTCCTCCCCAATTTGATACCCAATTTTTCTTTATCTAAATCATTTGATACCCTCATCACCTTACTCTTTTCTGTGTTCACTTCCAACTTTCTACCTATACACACACTCCTAAACTCGTCTACTAACCTTTGCAATTTTTCTTTAGAATCTCCCATAAGCACAGTATCATCAGCAAAAAGTAACTGTCAATTCCCATTTTGTATTTAATTCCCTATAATTTAATCTCGCCCCTCTTCCGGACACCCTAGCATTTACTTCTTTTACAACCCCATCTATAAATATATTAAACAACCATAGTGACATTACACATCCCTGTCTAAGATCTACTTTTACTGGGAAGTAGTCTCCTTCTCTTCTACACACCCTAACCTGAGCCTCACTATCCTCATAAAAACTCTTTACAGCATTTAGTAACTTACCACCTATTCCATATACAGTGGACCCTCTACCAACGATATTAATCCGTTCCTGAGAGCTCATCATTAGTTGAGTTAATTTTCCCCATAAGAAATAATGGAAATCAAATTAATCCGTTCCTGAAACCCCAAAGTATTGAAAAAAAAATTTTTACCACATGAAATATTAATTTTAATACATACAAACTGAAGAAGACATGTACAATTACATGACACTTACCTTTATTGAAGATCAGGTGGTCATTGATGGGATGGGAGGAGGGGAGAGTGTGGATGGTGTTAGTGTTTAGAAGGGGAATCCCCCTTCCATTAGGACTTGAGGTGTCAAGTCCTTTTCCGGGGTTACTTCCCTTCTTCTTTTAATGCCACTAGGACCAGCTTGAGTCACTGGACCTCTGTCGCACAACATATCTGTCCATAGAGCTCTGTACCTCCTGTTCCTTTAAGATTTGTCTAAAATGGGCCATAACATTGTCATTGTAATAGTCACTAGCACAGCTTGCAATAGCTGTGTTAGGGTGATTTTCATCCATAAAGGTTTGCAGTTCAACCCACTTTGCACACATTTCCTTAATCTTTGAAGTAGGCACAATGGATTCCACAACTGGCATAGGCATCTCAGGGTTAGCCCCAAACACTTCAAAATCTTTCTTAATTTCCATACTAATTCTCACCCTTTTTATCACAGGGATGGCACTAGAAGCTTTCTTGGGGTCCATGGTGACTTATTTTGCAGGTGCAATCACTAAAAACGCTGTGATAATATGAAATGTTCCGATTGTATGTTTGGATGCGACCGCAGTGGCTGGCTTGTAAACACTGGCACCCACGGGACAAGTGAGGCGCGCTCAGGCCACACGTGGACGCGTCTCGAATGGAACGAATTGCGTTGGTTGAGTTTTTTAGAGCTAGTTGAGGCAAAATTTTTGCATTAAAATGTATCACTAGTCGGATTTAACGTTATACGATGCCATCGTTGGTCGAGGGTCCACTGTACTTGTAACGTCTACCACATTGCTCCCCTATCCACTCTTATTGTATGCCTTTTCTAAATCCATAAATGCAATAAAATCTTCCCTACCTTTATCTAAATACTGTTCACATGTATAGCATTTATGGATTTGGAAAAGGCGTATGACAGGGTGGATAGGGGGTCAATGTGGCAGATGTTGCAGGTGTATGGTGTAGGAGGTAGTTACTGAAAGCAGTGAAGAGTTTTTATGAGGATAGTGAGGCTCAGGTTAGAGTAGGTAGGAAAGAGGGAAATTATTTCCCAGTAAAAGTAGGCCTTAGACAAGGATGTGTGATGTCACCATGGTTGTTTAATATATTTATAGATGGGGTTGTAAGAGAAGTAAATGCGAGGGTCTTGGCAAGAGGTGTGGAGTTGAAAGATAAAGAATCACACATAAAGTGGGAGTTGTCACAGTTGCTCTTTGCTGATGACACTGCTCTTGGGAGATTCTGAAGAGAAGTTGCAGAGATTGGTGGATGAATTTGGTAGGGTGTGCAAAAGAAGAAAATTAAAAGTGAATACAGGAAAGAGTAAGGTTATGAGGATAACAAAAAGATTAGGTGATGAAAGATTGGATATCAGATTGGAGGGAGAGAGAGTGGAGGAGGTGAATGTATTCAGATATTTGGGAGTGGACATGTCAGCGGATGGGTCTATGAAAGATGAGGTGAATCATAGAATTGATGAGGGGAAAAGGGCGAGTGGTGCACTTAGGAGGCTGTGGAGACAAAGAACTTTGTCCTTGGAGGCAAAGAGGGGAATGTATGAGAGTATAGTTTTACCAACGCTCTTATATGGGTGTGAAGCATGGGTGATGAATGTTGCAGCGAGGAGAAGGCTGGAGGCAGTGGAGATGTCATGTCTGAGGGCAATGTGTGGTGTGAATATAATGCAGAGAATTCGTAGTTTGGAAGTTAGGAGGAGGTGCGGGATTACCAAAACTGTTGTCCAGAGGGCTGAGGAAGGGTTGTTGAGGTGGTTTGGCTCGGACATGTAGAGAGAATGGAGCGAAACAGTGACTTCAAGAGTGTATCAGTCTGTAGTGGAAGGAAGGCGGGTAGGGTCGGCCTAGGAAAGGTTGGAGGGAGGGGGTAAAGGAGGTTTTGTGTGCGAGGGGCTTGGACTTCCAGCAGGCATGCGTGAGCGTGTTTGATGGGAGTGAATGGAGACAAATGGTTTTTAATACTTGATGTGCTGTTGGAGTGTGAGCAAAGTAACATTTATGAAGGGGTTCAGGGAAACCGGCAGGCCGGACTCGAGTCCTGGAGATGGGAAGTACAGTGCCTGCACTCTGAAGGAGGGGTGTTAATGTTGCAGTTTAAAAACTGTAGTGTAAAGCACCCTTCTGGCAAGACAGTGATGGAGTGAATGATGGTGAAAGTTTTTCTTTTTCGGGCCACCCTGCCTTGGTGGGAATCGGCCAGTGTGATAATAAAAAAAAAAATGCTTCAACGTAAACACTTCATCTACACATCCCCTACCCACTCTAAAACCTCCTTGCTCATCTGCAATCCTGCATTCTGTCTTGCCTCTAATTCTTTCAATAATAACCCTACCATACACTTTTCCTGGTATACTCGGTAAACTTATTCCTCTATAATTTTTACAATCTCTTTTGTCCCCCTTCCCTTTATATAAAGGGACTATGCATGCTCTCTGCCAATCCCTAGGTACCTTCCCCTCTTTATACATACTGTATATTAAACAAAAATACCAACCACTCCAACACTATATCCCCTCCTGCTTTTAACATTTCTGTCATGAACCCGTCAGTTCCAGCTGCTTTACCCCCTTTCATTCTACGTAATGCCTCACTCGCCTCCCCACACTCCACTCACATCCTGCTCTTCTTCACTCCTACAAGATGGTATACCTCCCTGGCCAGTGCATGAAATTACCACCTCCCTTTTTTCGTCAACATTTAAAAGTTCCTCAAAATATTCTCGCCATCTACCCAATACCTCCATCTCCCCATCTACTAACTCCCCTGCTCTGTTTTTAGCTGACATATCCATTCGTTCCCTAGGCTTTCTTAACTTGTTTAACTCGCTTCAAAATTTTTTCTTATTTTCATTAAAATTTCTTGACAGTGTCTCTCCCACTCGATCATCTACTCTCCTTTTGCACACTCACCGCTCTCTTCACCTTTCTTTTACTCTCCATGTATTCTACTTTGTATAACACTTCTGCTTTGTAAAACCTCTCATAAGCTACCTTATTCTCTTTTATCACACCCTTTACCTCATCATTCCACCAGTCACTCCTCTTTCCTCCTGCACCCACCCTCCTATAACCACAAACTTCTGCCCCCACATTCTAATACTGCATTTTTAAAACTATTTCAACCCTCTTCAACCCCCCCCCCCCCACTAATACTTGCACCAGCCCACCTTACTGCCAATAGTTGCTTATATCTCACCTGAACTTCCTCCTCCCTTAGTTTATACACTTTCACCTCCCTCTTGTCATTTTCCTCTTACTCTAACTGTAGCTACAACTAAATAATGATCCGATATATCAGTTGCCCCTCTATAAACATGTACATCCTGGAGCCTACCCATCAACCTTTTATCCACCAATACATAATCTAATAAACTAGTACTTTCATTACGTGTGTATCATACCTTATATATTTATCCTCTTTTTCATAAAATGTGTATTACTTATTACCAAACCTCTTTCTACACATAGCTCAATTAAAGGCTCCCCATTTTCATTTACCCCTGGCACCACAAATTTACCTACTACTCCCTCCACAACATTTTTACAACATTTTTATATTTTTATGCATAAATTTATTTCACTTTCATTAACAGTTTGATAAATGAAACAAAATACAGTAAGCCACAAGTCTTGGAAGTGGAGGTGTACCATTCTCGCAACCTGATGATGTCTGCGATTCGTGTTTATGCTGAAGGTGCATCAGGACGTAGTCTGGTGGCCCTTGCTCACACTCTAGATGCCAACACACTGCCTTCTCCAGCCACTCTCAAATGCAAAACTCCAAATATGGTTAGCAATGCTGGATTATTAAAACTGACTAAATTTTATAATGGTTTGTTTTTCTTACTTGATTATGATTCCTGTAAATTTCTTTCAGTGAAAGTTGTCATGATTTTCTGCATTTACATTTTTTAAAATGCTTTGTTTCCCTTTCTTATATAGGTAAATGAAATTCCATTGTGTGACCTCAATGCTGGTGAGCGAGCAATGATCATTAAGACAGCAAATGGAGACTGGGCAGTACTGGTGGCTTACTGGGCAGGACTGAAGCAGGGTACACCAGGTTCACTATGTAAGTTTACGGAGTATGCTACTTCTTTCGCATTAGAAGATGATATTAATTTATCCCTTATTTCTCTTTATTTGGTGTAGACAAAAAAAATATTTATTAGCCAGACTTGAGATCTGGAGGTGACGGTAGTACAGTGCCTGCACTCTGAAAGAAGGGTGGGGATGCTGCAGTTCAGAGGGCCATCTGAGATGTGACTTCAGCACTCTTGTTGGACGACAGTTAAATGAATGATGGTGTAAGTGTTTCTTCTCTTATGGGTCACCCTCCTTCACTGGGAGATGGTTGGTACGTTATAGTATTAACCCTTTGAGGGTCGGTCCCGTAGTTCCACAATTTTGAAGCCTGGGTTGGTACTGTAGTTCTACGCTATGATCTCAGCTCAGAGCTGTGAGAGGTAAATTTGGGCCTAGATATGAGAAAATGGATCTATGCAGTAAGTGTGCATCATATAAAAATCCTGCAGCAAGCAGTGCATAATGGAAAAAAAAACTGCTACCATGTTTTTGGTGTAAGTCTGTTCTGATATTTTAGAAAAAGAGATGATTTTGACTGGTTTCAGGAATGAAAGTAGTTTGGAACTGAGCTCAGAGTAGCAGAAATTTTTGATTATTGCCAATATGTATTCATTGCACACAAATTACATCACTCATCCAATACATGTCCAACTGGTTGGTCTAATACATGTCCACAAATGTGCTGACATTGTTTATGGAATTTTTACAATAATTTAGTAGTCTGCTGCAGTAGTGTGAATAAAAATCCAAAATAGAAAGCAAGTGTGATACAGGAGAGGCCTGAGAATATGACCAATGAACAGATGAAATATTATTTTGGTGCCAGGAATGTCTACATTTTGTTCTGATCCCTATTTTGAAATTGTCAATTTTTTATTTTTTTAAATTGGCCAGATTACTGATTTCTGATCACTTTATTGGGTAGTTAAATTAGGTAAATGGGTAGTTACTTGTACTCAGTCAATAGAATAGAAGGAATACTAGCAAAATAGCTACAAGTTTGGTCGACTGGAAGAATAGAATTGGCCAAAAATAAGGCTCAAAGTGGGCGAAATTGCTGATGCCTAAATATTGCCGAGTCCACTAATTTTGTGAGTAATTCTATACGTTTTTCGTTGAATTTCATACTTTTGGTTTCATTACCTTCGGAAAACATTTCTCTATCGTAAGAATTTTTTTTTTTTTTTTTTTTTCTCCAACCCTGAGAGCAAGTTTCGGATCAGGGGTTCCAACCCTCAAAGGCTTAATAATCCTCTTCATATAATATGACTGTTTTGGGAAGGTGAAAATTATTCTTGACCTTAACCCTTTCAGGGTCCGTCCCGTAGATCTACGGCTTTACGTTCAGGGTCCAAACCGTAGATCTACGCCATGAGCTCAGCTCACTCTGATAAACTGTGAGTGGTACATTTGGGCCTAGATATGAGAGAATACATCTATGTGGTATGTGTGCACCACATAAAACAGATCCTGCAGCACACTGTGTATAATGAGAGAAAAAAAATGAAATCGTGATTTTTCGATTAAAACAGCAACTTTGCAGTGTTTTCTCGTATGTTTTTTATAGTTGTATTTGCGATTTCTTGGTCTCATTTGATAGAATGGAAGACATATTACAGAAATAGAGATGATTTTGATTGGTTTTAGCATTGGAAATGGCTTGAAACTGAGCTTAAAGTAGCGGAAATGTTAAATTTTTGCCGATATTCAAGAGTAAACAAACGACCTCACACGTCTAATACACGTCAGCTGGTGGGTCTAATATACATTCACAAATATGGTGATGATATTTATACAATTATTACAGTATTGCATAAGAGTAATCTTCTATTTTTTGGTGTGAATAAAAATTCATTATGTGAATAAAAAATCAAAATGGAATTTATTTGTAAAGCCTCAAAACATAACTAATAAAACAGGGGAAATGTTAGTTTAGTGCCAGGAATGCCTACATTGTTCATTCTGGACCCTATTTTCAAATTTGGAATATTTTGAACTTTGGGGTTAAAATTTGGGCCCAAATTAACAATTCCGATCACTTTATTTTGTAGTTGAAACAGTTGTCTTCGCGATTTCTTGTGCTCAATCGATAGAATAGAAGTAATACTAGTGAAATAGCTAAAAATTTTGGGTTTGATTGAATAATGTAATTGGCCTAAAATGGGAGTCAAAGTCGGAAAAATCGCCGATTCGTAAATACCGCTGACACATCAAAATTAGCGAGAGCATAATTTCGTCAATTTTCCACCAAATTTCGTACTTTTTGTTTTATTACCTTCACAAAAAGATTCTCTACGATTTCATAAGAAAAAATAACAAATTTTTTTTTTGAAAATTCTTGGACACTGGTGTGTGACTCCAGATTTGGGCCTTGGACCCTGAAAGGGTTAAACACATGCATGTCTATCTGTATACAGTAGTACAGTGGAACCTCTGCTTATGAGTGCATCCACGTGTGAGTTTATCCAGATACGAGCAGTCGCTCGGTCAATTTTTTGCTTCCAGATGTGAGCGGGTCTCGAGGGAGGCTCCTTGACGCTAGTGAGGGGCTCTTGCTCTTGATCTAAGGAATTGGGTCTCACTTGTTTGCTAGATTATCTTATTGAAACTTGGGCAATGTATGATGGAAAGATGCTTCTTAGCATACACCAAAAATGAAGGAAATCAGACTATAAACAAGGAGTTGACTCTCAGCTATTAGCCTTTCCCCTTGGCGGTATTTTTTTCGTATGGTTTTTATGGTTGTATTCTATTTTTTTTTGGTCTCGTCTGATAGAATGGAAGATGTACTACAGAAATAGATATGATTTTGATTGGTTTCATGAAGAAAAGTACGTTGAAATTGAGCTCAAAGTAGCAGAAATGTTCGATTCTTTGCCGATGTTCAAGAGTAAAGAAGTGACGTCACCGTCCAATACCTGTCCGATTGGCACTGCCCCTCAACCTTCACATATTGGAAAGCTCTTCAAAACACTAGCAAAAGTGGGAGCAGACATCATGTGGTAGCAGTGGCAGACATCATGAGCTATCAGTGGCAAACAACATGAAGCAACAGTGGCAGACATCGTGAGGTAGCAGTGACAGACATGAGGTAGCAGTGGCAGACAACATGAGGTAGCAGTGGCAGACATCATAAGGTAGCAGTGGCAGACATCATAAGGTAGCAGTGGCAGACATCGTGAGGTAGCAGTGGCAGACATCGTGAGGTAGCAGGGGCAGACATCGTGAGGTAGCAGGGGCAGACATTGTGAGGTAGCAGGGGCCCGACATCGTGAGGTGCAGGGCAGAACATCGTGAGGTAGCAGTGGCAGACATCGTGAGGTAGCAGTGGCAGACATCGTGAGGTAGCAGTGGCAGACATCGTGAGGTAGCAGTGGCAGACATCGTGAGGTAGCAGTGGCAGACATCGAGGGGTTTAGCAGGGGCAGACTCGTGAGGTAGCAGTGGCAGACATCGTGGGGTAGCAGTGGCAGACATCGTGAAGGTAGCAGTGGCAGACATCGTGAGGTAGCAGTGGCAGACATCGTGGGGTAGCATGGCAGACATCGTGAGGTAGCATGGCAGACATTGTGAGGTAGCAGTGGCAGACATTGTGAGGTAGCAGTGGCAGACATCGTGAGGTAGCAGTGGCAGACATCGTGAGGTAGCAGTGGCAGACAGCGTGAGGTAGCAGTGGCAGACAGCGTGAGGTAGCAGGGGCAGACAGCGTGAGGTAGCAGTGGCAGACAGCGTGGGGTAGCAGTGGCAGACAGCGTGAGGTAGCAGTGCAGACAGCGTGAGGTAGCAGTGGCAGACAGCGTGAGGTAGCAGTGGCAGACAGCGTGAGGTAGCAGTGGCAGACAGCGTGAGGTAGCAGTGGCAGACAGCGTGAGGTAGCAGTGGCAGACAGCGTGAGGTAGCAGTGGCAGACAGCGTGAGGTAGCAGTGGCAGACAGCGTGAGGTAGCATGGCAAGACAGCGTGAGGTAGCAGTGGCAGACAGCGTGAGGTAGCATGGCAGACAGCGTGAGGTAGCAGTGGCAGACAGCGTGGGGTAGCAGTGGCAGAAGCGTGAGGTACCAGTGGCAGACAGCGTGAGGTAGCAGTGGCAGACAGCGTGAGGTAGCAGTGGCAGACAGCATGAGGTAGCAGTGGCAAAGTGTAGCACTAAGAGTGTAGCACTTATAAGTCACTGGCTTTTTTTGGGTTATCCTAGGTTATCGACACGTGTAGTCAGGAGCAGGAATGGCAGCTGTGGTGGCTCTATAAACCCCAACAACAATGGCCACTGTCACCACCATTAGCCACATACTTAATGCATGTATTTTATTCATTCTAGTGTATATATCATGTTTCTGTTATTAATATTGTTTATTATGTCATATTACATAAATTTGTGATAGATAAATAAGCTGTGAAGTTGATATTAGGGAAATTACTGAAGTTTTTTCTCGTGCCTGGAAATTCCATGGGAACGAATTAATTCCATTAAAGTTTAAATGGGGAAAATTAAACTCTGCAAACGAGCAAATCCGGATGCGAGCAAGGACATGAATGGATTAAACTCGTAAGTAGAGGTTCCACTGTATATAAAATGCAAGTTTTGTAGATCATAAGGCAAACTTCTGAACTTTTGTAATAAATGTTTAAAAAACACTGATAAGACATACAGAAATTATTAATTTCTACATGTACAAATTGGTATTTTAATGCAATTTTTAACCAGTTCTCATATGGGGATGTAAATGGTTTAGAAAACACACACATTGAAGAATGAAACGCTTGTACAACATTTGGGAATCTTTATTGAGGAAATGTTTTGCCAGCCAGTGGTGTCAAGTTTATCCTTATTTCCATAGCCCCTAATATGTCTTCAACTGTATGTACAGGACTACAGAAACTGAATGTCTTGGTTATTAGCACATTGTGAATATAATAAAAAAATTTAATTTTTTTGTGCTTAATTTACAATTTTTTCAGCAAAACGTGGTGTTCGGGGAAGCCCAGGTTACCTGGTATCCGTGTGCATTGTCACCTTCAGCACCAGCATGTGTCATTACTCTGCCATATGAACAGCAACTCTACAGTTACAACATTAAAGATATTTATGTTAAAATGCAAGATGGCATTTTTAAGGTACTTGTACAGGTGACAGTATTTGTTTATCTTTTGTTTTGTACCTGGTTCCTTGCTATTCTTTAGAACATAACCAATTTTGAAATTTTGATGGTTTAAACTTCCTTAAATGTTATTTTTCAGACTAGGACTTGTTATTCTCCTCAACTTTTATCAAAGCCTATGGTATACTACCTCCCTCTCATTTGCCACTTATTCTTTCTGTTGCTTACAGGATAAAATTTTGGGATATCTTCATTTTCCAAGTTTGATGAAGAGCTTCTGAAATTTATTGACATTTATATATTGGGGTTCCTTACTATAAATACTTATTTTAACTGAATAGTTTATTAATCATTCCAGGTGAATGGAAACACACAGGAGTGGATAGAGACGTGGCTTTGGGACTGAGTGTGACTGTACTACACATTTTGTGTCAGCCACGATACATTCCATGTGATGCCTAGACACAGTTGATGGTCCCTTTGACAAGCCCATTGATCCGCTGACACTGCCTCGTCGTATACCTGTAGAGAACCTCAAGTTGATAGGACCCCTTTGGGTCTTCTGTGCTGCGCTCCCACTAATGCATTCCACAAAAGAAAAGACCCCCATGGTATCTCTAACTGCTTGTACACTAGGTATTGTGGGCAACTAATGTTGGAGGGGGGTTTGTGGTTCTTTGGGGGTTGTGGTGGGTGTGGAGGTGGCTATTATGCTCTTTTTTGGTGACCCAAGTAGGGGTGGAGGATGGGTTAATCAGGGTGGTGGTGATGGCTGTAATGGGGGGGGTGGTGATGTTGGAGGGGGTGATGGAGGAATGGACCCATTTGTTTGTATGCTGGCATCAATGGCAAATGGTGATGGGGCGATGGGGGAGGGGGGATGGAGGGGATGGGGGTGGTTGTGGGGGTTGTGGTGGATGTGGAGGATGTGGAGGATAGCAGCAATGTAGGCCTGTCATTAAAATGTGATAAAAAATGGACTTATGTTTTACACTATCTTTGCTCCTGATTAAGCTATGAAATTATGTTTATTGCAAGTGTACCTTGGTAGCAAATGTTTTAGGGCAATGAGTTAACACTGCTGAAGGACATCATGGATGATGGATCCAACTTTGCAATTTCACAAAAATGGTGACATGTTAAGATCCCTTATGCAAAGGAGTTCTCCCATAGCAACTTGAATACATTGACGCATCTGACGAACATACAGGGAAATCCTTCACAGCAGTTTCCTTTTACAGTATCACAACTGGTAATCAAGGAAGGTGGATCCACAGTAACAAAATCACATCCCAAGACAAATTTGGTGAACCTCACAAATACAGTCTTATTTGAAACAGTCCATATATTTCATTACTCTGCCTTCATACAGCCCCACTTGAATTGTAAATTCAGTTTGTAATCTCTAATGTCACTTTTTAATATGTGAAGCACATTTCTCTGAGACGTGTGTGATTGTATACACACACTATTGTCAGCGATTGTATAAAAAAATTTTTTAGAATGTAAATAAAGCTAACAGTTGTATTTTTGTAGTGGAGTAAATTTAAAACTTTGGTATAATATGGTAACTGTATGTCTTGTGTAGGCTATGTAAAGCTTTATATTGTTGTAAAAATATTCTGTAAAGTAATTGTATCTTTATTTAAACCCTTTATAATCTATGTACTAGTAGCAAGTAGAATGTTAATGAACATTGGTATCAACATTGATGGTGGAGGTGCACACTAGAATGTTTTAATACAGTGGAACCTCAGTTTTAGTTTTTAACTCGTTCCAGAGAGTGACAAAAACCAAATTTGACGAAAAAATAAAGAAATATTTTCCCATAAGAAATTAGTAAATCCAATAATCCATTCCAACGTCCAAAAGCATTAACACAAAATACATTTAGTGAGAATAACTCTAGTTTACACACAGAAAACAATGAGAAATATAAAACACTATTTTAATGGATAAATTAACATTTAAATCAGTTTTACCTTTGTTGAAGACTCTTGTTTTGTCTCGGCTTGCAGCCTTTCCATAAACCCTTTAAAAAACTGTGTATGCCAGATCGCTTCTTGAAGTTGTCGAACCAGCCTCTGCTGGCCTTAAATTCACTAACAGCAGCACTCATTCCAGGATATTCTTTACAAGATCCACATGCAACTGCCTCGCCTTTTTTCAAATTATCGCCTCCCCATCACTATCTCTCGCTAACTGTCCCCTCAAGGAAAAGGTTCCTTGATGTTGGTTTAGGGCTCTTGATTTAGGGAATTGGATCTGTGCTCCAGTTTCCCCCAATTAAGCCTGAATGCCTTCCACATCCCCCCCCCAGGCGCTGTATACTCCCCCGGGTTTAGCGCTTCCCCCTTGATTATAATAATAATAATCTCGCTAACTGTTTTTTGTTGATGCACACCAGCAACTTCTCAACATCTTTTGATTGTCTGCAATCTCTGTTTCGTTTTGCACGCTTACCCCTTTTGCAACATCAGACCCTCGATTTCTTTTTTCTTCGCCAGGATGGGAAAGATCATTGATGAGGACTTCCTGTACATCCTGGCGAGATCAACCGCACATACGCCCCTTCGTACTTTTCAACAAGTTTTTCTTGAATTATGTCATGTTCTCGCCTTCTTTTTTTAAAGGGCTGGCACTCGAAAACCCTCTTGGGCCCCATGGGGGTTTATTTAGCCGTCGCACTCGATAAACGCACAAAAAACAATCTATTATTGTGAAATGTTTCATATGAACGTGCAGGGTAATGTTCACTTGACAAGAATCAAACCGTCTGACTCGGAATGCTTGCGTGGGATGCTTTGTGTGGGGCATGGGTACGCAACACGTTCGGTACGGCGGACGAAAACCAAGGTGGTGAACAAAAACTGGGACAATATTTTGATGGAAAAAGTTGTCAAAGACCAAACTCAACAAAACCAGGGGAAGCAGAAACCAAGGTTCCACTGTAGTGTAAGAGTTCGCTTTTTATAATCACCCTTCTTAAGGAAGAAAATTAGAGAATCTGTTCTTAAGGTAAAGTAGACATGTATTGGACTGATATGGAAGTAGTTTATATGCTTAATTTATACACAGATGATCCTCCATAGGAAAAGAAAATTATAACATTTCGGTCCAGCTTGGACCATTAAAATGGTCCACTAGCTGATCCAATAAGACCAAATTGTCATCATAAGTTTCATTCTCCTATGTGTGGGTTATTTGTGATTGTTCCAGTCACAGTATGGTCTTTTTATTCTTTTCTTATTACTATATTTTTACATAAGCTCCAATATTTTTTGAGATTGTGCTTTTAAAGGGTTTTTTTTTTTTTTCCCCCTGAATTTTTATTTTTTTCCCCACGATTTGAATTCCTGCTGTATAAGTTTAACAATATGAATACAGAATTAAAGAATTGCAATTGCAAAAAAGATTTGTTTATTTTTTAAACCAGGAATTGGGATCAGAAATGCAAAATAAGAAAAAAAAAGGAAAGGCTACACTATGGATCTTTGCTGTAACAGTCTCATACACCCCACTGATGTAGCTACTTTCCTGGGGTAAGTTTTTCTACTGTATTTGTAGCGAGGGGGTAAAAGTGGTTTTGTGTGTGGGGGCTTAAACGTCCATAAGCAGATTGGATAGGAACGAGTGGAGGCAAGTGGTTTCTATGAATTGACATCTGTTTAGTGTGAGCGAAGTAACATTTATGAAGGGATTCATAAATATTACTGGACTTGAGTCCTGGAGGTGGGAAGTACATGTCCCCAAAACTGAAGGATGGTGGGGATATTTTTCAGTTTTGAACTGTAGTATCAGCACTCCTCTGTAAAGGCATGTGGGAGTGAATGATGATGAAAGTGTTTATTCTTTTTCCGGATCAAGCTAAAGGTGGTTATCTACCCAGCTTATTCCGGAGCCCAGTCTTATCTGGTACACTACTACTGTTACCACCACAGGATGCCACCACAACTGTCAGTTATCACCCATGTCATGGTCATGGACTGGGCTGTGGGGGCATTGACCCCCAGAACCCCCCAGGTAAAACCTGTTTAGTGCTACTCTAGATGAAATGCCCTTAATGCCTAGGCATAATAGAGGGGTCTGTTTGCATTGCAACCCACTATTGTAAATACAAAATCTCAATGTACTGTTTGCAAAGACATAAAAATAAAAAAAAATGGGCAGCAGGTGTAAGGAGACTTGGCCATACATCTACCCAGACAGGGTTTTAATGGTAATGTATGGCAGCAAGGATAATATGTTCATTTAGACAATGTTGAGTAAAGATACAAGATATTGATATTAATTGGCTCAAAAATGACTTAAATGATCCCTAAAAAAACAGTATTGGGTCTTCCCTCTTAGAGTTTATACCCCAAGGTTTTTTTTTTTTAGGATTTTTCTTGACTTGGGATTTGTAAGGTAACTGAATATTGATTATTATTTTGAACATTTTCATTAGTGATTTCGTGTTATGCTGTTGCCATTACAATTATATAAATTTTACAAAGTTTTTAAAGAAATAGTATATTAAAACATTAAAAATTAAGGGCCCAACAGTAAATGTTGCCATCAGTAAATATAATCATCTATATAATTATCTCTAAATATCTATAGAGGTGGGAAGGATGGTGTCTTCACTTTAAAAGAGATGAATGGGGATGGTGTAGTTTAGTAGATCACTGAATCATGAAGCCTCAGCACTTCTGGAAAAACAGCTTGGAAGCGAGTGATGGTGAATGTATTTTTTCCTTTTGGTTATGCTACCTGGTAAAAAAACAACCAATGTGTATTTTTTTTTTTTCCCGAATAGTGTACAGACTGTAGGGTGTACATGAAGCAACAAACTCACAAGGGGGTTTGTTGCTTTATATACAACCTGCCACCATTTAGAAGTACAAAAGACAACAGCTAGAATATGGCACAGCAAGGGGCAAAGGGTTTATAGTTGTTTTTAACGGGGCCGGGCCCCTTTTCCTTCCCGAGAGGGGGTGACAAAAAAAAGAAAAAACAAAATTTTTCTATTTTTACATTTAGAATTTATACAGAAGGAGTACTACCCCTTGCTCCCTTAGCACCTCTTACGCACCATCTTGGGAGGAATGATTTTTTTCCCACTTCCCAGGGAGCATTCAGGAGGCCCTTTTATACAGCACTTTTTCAGGGTTTCCCCACTGAGAATCGTTATATTCATTTACTGGGAAATTCTCAAAAAGCTTTTTGGGGGCTTTTTTTGCTCAACTGAAGTTTATTATTTTAATCTATGAATATTGTTTACCCTGACATTGAACTACTTTCTTCACACGGCCCCCCCCTTATGGGGGTTAGCATTGTCTGTCATATTTTTGTGCTGTATGCAAATGGGGTTTTCAAAGCTCATTAAGAGCTAAAGGCACACCTTTTTTCATCAGGAAATCACCCGCACCTTATATCCAAGGTCAGGTCAAGG